CCATCCAGGAGCTCCAGCACCTCTCCAGGAGCTCCATCACCTCTCCACCAACTCCAGCACCCTTCCAGAAGCTCCAGAACCTCTTCAAGAGCTCCAGAAGTTCCAGCACCCTCCAGGAGCTCAAACACCCATCCAGGAGCTCCAGCACCTCTCCAGGAGCTCCAGGATCTCCATTGCCCTTCCAGGAGTTCCAGCATCCATCCAGGAGCTCCAGCACCTCTCCAGGAGCTCCAGGATCTCCATTGCCCTTCCAGGAGTTCCAGCATCCATCCAGGAGCTCCAGCACCTCTCCAGGAGCTCCAGGATCTCCATTGCCCTTCCAGGAGTTCCAGCATCCATCCAGGAGCTCCAGCACCTCTCCAGGAGCTCCAGGATCTCCATTGCCCTTCCAGGAGTTCCAGCATCCATCCAGGAGCTCCAGCACCTCTCCACCAGCTCCAGCACCCTTCCAGGAGCTCCAGCACCACTCCAAGAGCTCCAACACCTCTCCAGGAGCTCCATTGCCCCTCCACCACCTCCAGTGTCCAATCAGGAGCTCCAGAACCTTTTCAGGAGCTCCAGGAGATCCAGCACCATAGGAGCTCCAGCACCCATGCAGAAGCTCCACTGCCCTTCCAGGAGCTCCAGCGCCCATCCAGGAGCTCCATCACCTCTTCAGGAGCTCCAGCACACATCCCTGAGCTCCATCGCCCCTCCACCACCTCCAGCACCTTTCCCGGAGCTACATCACCTCTCCACCAGCTCCAGCACCCTTCCAGGAGCTCCATCACCTCTTCAGGAGCTCCAGGAGCTCCAGCACCCTCCAGGAGCTCCAGCACCCATCCATGAGCTCCAGCACCCATCCATGAGCTCCAGCACCTCTCCACCAGCTCCAGCACCCTTCCAGGAGCTCCATCACCTCTTCAGGAGCTCCAGGAGCTCCAGCACCCTCCAGGAGCTCCAGCACCCATCCATGAGCTCCAGCACCCATCCATGAGCTCCAGCACCTCTCCACCAGCTCCAGCACCCTTCCAGGAGCTCCAGCACCCATCCAGGAGCTCCATCACCTCTCCACCAGCTCCAGCACCCCTCCAGGAGCTCCAGCACATCTTCAGGAGCTCCAGCATTTATTCATGAGCTCCATCACCCATCCAGGAGCTCCAGCACCTCTCCAGGAGCTCCATCACATCTCCACCAACTCCAGCCACCGAGCTCCAGAAGTTCCAGCACCCTCCAGGAGCTCAAACACCCATCCAGGAGCTCCAGCACCTCTCCAGGAGCTCCAGGATCTCCATTGCCCTTCCAGGAGTTCCAGCATCCATCCAGGAGCTCCAGCACCTCTCCACCAGCTCCAGCACCCTTCCAGGAGCTCCAGCACCACTCCAAGAGCTCCAACACCTCTCCAGGAGCTCCATTGCCCCTCCACCACCTCCAGTGTCCAATCAGGAGCTCCAGAACCTTTTCAGGAGCTCCAGGAGATCCAGCACCATAGGAGCTCCAGCACCCATGCAGAAGCTCCACTGCCCTTCCAGGAGCTCCAGCGCCCATCCAGGAGCTCCATCACCTCTTCAGGAGCTCCAGCACACATCCCTGAGCTCCATCCATGAGCTCCAGCACCCATCCATGAGCTCCAGCACCTCTCCACCAGCTCCAGCACCCTTCCAGGAGCTCCATCACCTCTTCAGGAGCTCCAGGAGCTCCAGCACCCTCCAGGAGCTCCAGCACCCATCCATGAGCTCCAGCACCCATCCATGAGCTCCAGCACCTCTCCACCAGCTCCAGCACCCTTCCAGGAGCTCCACTGCCCTTCCAGGAGTTCCAGCACCTCTTCACCAGCTCCATCACATCCCCACCAGCTCCAGCACTCATCCAGGAGCTCCATCACCCTTCCATGAACTCCATCACCTCTCTAGGAGCTCCGGGAGCTCCATCACCTCTCCAGGATCTCCAGGAGCTCCCTTGCCCTTCCAGGCGCTCCAGCACCCATCCATGAGCTCCAGCACCCCTCCACCACCTCCAGCAGCCCCCAGGAGCTCCATCGTCCTTCCAGAAGCTCCATCACCTCTTCAGGAGTTCCATTTCCCTTCCAGGAGCTCCATCACCTCTCCACCAGCTCCAGCACCTTTCCAGCAGCTCCATCACGTCTCCAGGAGCTCCAACAGCTCCATCACCTCTCCAGGGCCTCCAGCACCTCTCCAGGAGCTCCAGCACCCTTCACAGCTCCAGCACCCTTCCAGGAGCTCTATTGCCTCTCCAGAAACTCCACCAGCTCCAGCACTCCTCCAGGAGCTCCATCACCCTTCCAGGAGCTCCACCAGCTCCAGCACCCTTCCAGAAGGTCCACTACCTCTCCAGGAGCTCCACCAGCTCCATCACCCCTCCACAAGCTCTACCAGCTCCACCACCCCTCCTGGAGCTCCATCACTCCTCCATGAGCTCCATCATCCCTTTAAGAGCTCCAGCACCCCTCGAGATGCTCCACTCTTCACCTACGAGCTCCATCATTCTCCATCAGCTCCATCACCCCTCTGCAAACTCCATCAACTCCCCAGGAGCTCCACCACCCTTCCACCACCTCTGTCACCCTCCCGTGAGCTCCATCGCCACCCCAAGAGCTCCACCACCTCTCTGCAAGCTCCATCAGCTCTCATTAGTTCCCTCTGTGAACTCCACTACCCCTCCACCAGCCCCACCACTCCTCCAGGAGCTTCACCACCCTGCTGTGAGGTCCATCACCCATTCTTTCACTTCCAGCACCCCTCCATGACCTCCACTACCCCTCCACCAGCTCCATCACCCCCCATGAGCTCCATCAGCCTCCCCATGAGCTCAATCACTCTTCCATCAGCTCCATCATCCCCCTACGAGCTCCTCCACCACCCCATGAGCTCCACCACCGCTCTAGGAGCTCTATCACCTCCTTTTCCAGCTCCATCACCCCTCTCCCTGTGAGCTCCATCACCTCTGCACTAGCTCCACCACCCTCCCATGAGCTCCACCACTCCTCCATGAGCTCCATCACCCTTCCCACGAGCTCCATCACTGCTCCAGCAGCTCCATTGTCTCCCTATGAGCTCCACCACCTCCCCATGAGCTCCATCACTCCTCCACAAGCTCCACCATCCCCCTGGGAACTCCACCAGCCCCCCATGAGTTCTATCACTGCTCCACCAGCTCCACCACCCCTCTATGAGCTCCACCAGCCCCCCATGAGCTCTACCAACCCCCTAGGAGCTCCTTCATCCCTCCCCATGAGCTCCATCACCGCTCCACCAGCTCCATCACCCCTCCACCAGCTCCATCATCCCCCCATGATCTCCACCACCCCCCCATGATATCCACCACCCCTCTACGAGCTCCACCACTCCCTCCATGATCTCCACCACCCCTCCACCAGCTCCATCTCACTATGACCTCCACCACCTCCCCATGATCTCTATCACCCCCGCCATGATCTCCACCACCCTCCCCACAAGCTCCATCACTGCTCCACCTCCTCCATCATTCCTCCATCAGCTCCACCACCCTCCCCATGATCTCCACCACCTCCCCATGATCTCCATCACCTCTCCACCACCCCATGATCTCCACCACCCCCTCCTTCATCTCACCACCCCTCTGCGAGCTCCACCATCCTCCCCATGATCTCCACCACCCCTCTATGATCTCCACCACCCTCCCCATGATCTCCACCACCCCTCTATGATCTCCACCACCCTCCCCATGATCTCCACCACCCCTCTATGATCTCCACCATCCTCCCCATGCCGTGCCCCCCCCCCCCCCCCCATGCCCCCCCCCATCCCCTCCATGACTTCCCCCACCCTCCCCATGATCTCCACCACCCCTCTATGGTCTCCATCACTCTCCCCATGATCTCCATAACCGCTCCACCACCCTTACACCAGCTCCATCATCCCCCCATGATCTCCACCACCCCCTCCATGCTCTCCACCACCCCCCCATGATCTCCACCACCCCCTCCATGACCTCTACCATCCCCTCCATGACTTCCACCACCCTCCCCATGATCTCCACCACCCCTCTATGGTCTCCACCATCCTCCCCATGATCTCCACCATCCCTCCATGATCTCCACCATCCTCCCCATGATCTCCACCACCCCTCTATGATCTCCACCACCCTCCCCATGATCTCCATCACCCCTCTACCACCCTCCCCACGATCTCCATCACCCCTCTATGATCTCCACCACCCCGCCATGATCTCCACCACCCCCCCCATGATCTCCACCCTCCCCCCCAT